TTTGTTTACTGACTTTGTTTATATTGACACTGGAAGATACAGGAACTTGCATGTCGACTGAAGGAAGGAACCAGAGAAGGGGAAGGATAAAGAACCTGGAGGAGAGAGAGAATGGATGGAGGAAGGCCCCTGACCAGATGGGACTCCTCTGGGGAGGAAGGTGGACACGGGAAGTTGAGGGAACCCCACCTATTTCCTCAGGGACAGAAGAAAGCAAAGCTGCCTCTGACACCGAGGAAGCCAATATGGGAGGGAATTTGAGGAGAAAAAAGGAAGGTTTGTAGAGACCACGGAGAAGGTAAGTAAGGGTGTGGCCAAAAATATGGACTAAGGAGCCACCCTGAAAGCCCAAATAAAATTGTGCAGCATCTATCTGCAGAGTCCCCAACCCACACGTCTTGTGGTTTGGGGAGGCACTTCCCTGAACCAGGCCATTCGGGTGGGGAGGGCAGTGTGGCCAAGGGACAGGGAGGCAAAGGCAGGTGGAGGGCGATGGCTCGCACCGGGTCCAGGAGGGAGTCAAAGAAAGGGAGCACCCGTGGCAGCCGAACCTGGGAGAGAAAGGAGGGCATCCTGGAGGTGAGGTCTGGAGGGGACTGGTGGGAGGGCAAGACGGGAAGGACGAGACACAGACAAGTCCCAGCGGGAAATCTGTTTTCCTGGAGGGAGAGGGCTCTGGGCTCCCGCATCCGTCCAGCGCCGGGAAGGAAGCCGCCCTTCCCTGCAGCGCCTCCGAGAGCCTGACCTAAGGCGGTGGTTCAGCGAAAACACAAGCACCTCTGCCATCGACCTTGGGCTGCTTAGAGCTAAAAGTGTGGTTTTATTTTTATTTTTATTTATTTGAGAAAGAGAGAGTGATGGAGAGAAAGCACAAGCAGGGGGAGGGGCAGAGGCAGAGGGAGAAGCAGACTCCCCACTGAGCAGGGAGTCCGACTAGGGGCTCTAGGGACTCAATCCCAGGACCCCGGGATCATGAACTGAGCCAAAGGCAGACGCTTAACCGACTAAGCCACCCAGGCGCTCCTGAAAGTGTGGTTTTAAAAAATTCAGGGAAAATTCACAAAACCTAAAGTTAACCCTCTTAAAGTGCACAATTCAGTGGCGTTTAATACATTCACATTTTGCAGTGAAAGCATTTCATCATCCTCAAAGGAACCCTAGTACCCACTAAGCAGTCACCCCCTCTCCCCGCTTCCCCAGCCCTGGGCAGCCACTACGCTGCTTCCTGCATCTGTGAATTTACAGAGACTGGACATCTCATCTAAATGGAATCACATGCTACGTGATCCTTTGGGTTGTCTCCATCTTTTGGCTGTGGCAGATATGTTTCCGTGACCATTTGTGTCCAAGTATTTGTTTGAGTACCTGTTTTCAGTTCTTTGGGGGTATGTCACTAGGAAGAATTGCTGCTGAGTCATCTGGTAATTCTATCTGTTTAACTTTGAGGAACCACTTAACTGTTCTCCACAGTACCTACACCATTGTATTTTTCACTAGCAATGTATGAGGGTTTCAATTTCTACACATTCTTGCCAACACTTGTCATTTATAGTGTTTTTTTTTTTTTTTTTTTAATGGTCATCCTAGTGGCTGTGAGTTGGTATCTCACTGCGATTCGGGCTTGTATTTCCCTAATGATTAGTGATGTTGAGCATCTTTTCTTTTTTTTTTTAAAGATTTTATTTATTTATTTGACAGAGAGAGACACAGCGAGAGAAGGAACACAAGCAGGGGGAGTGGGAGAGGGAGAAGCAGGCCTCCTGCTGAGCAGGGAGCCCGATGTGGGGCTCGATCCCAGAACCCTGGGATCATGACCTGAGCCGAAGGCAGACGTTTAATGACTGAGCCACCCAGGCGCCCCTGTTGAGCATCTTTTCATATGCATCTTTGCCATCTGTGGATCTCCTTTGGAGAAATGTCTATTCAAATCCTGAACCATTTTTTAATTGGGTTGTCTTTCTGTTGTTGAGTTGTAAGAATTTCTCATACATTCTGCTTGTTGGACCCTTATCAGATATATGATTTGTAAATATCTTCTCCTGTTCTTTGGTTGCCTTTCACTTTTCTCTGTAGTGTCATTGGATGCGCAGAAGTTTTTAATTTGATGAAGTCCACTTGTCTGTTTTTTCTTTTGTTGTTTCTGCCTTTGATGTTGTACCTAAGAATCCATTGCCAAATCCTAGATCATGAACACATAATCCTATAGTTTCTTTTAAGAGTTCTATAGTTTCAGCTCTTACATTTAGGTCTTTGTCTATTTTTAGTTAATTTTTGTATACGTTGTGATGCAGGGACAAAAGTGCAAATTGTAGTCCATGAATCTTCTTAAGAATTTACTATTTGTATACATTAGGTTAATACACTGGATTGGTCACATAGGGGACCTCAGCATTTTCAGATTTAATATTTTCAGTTTATCATCAGTGAGTGATCTCAAAAGGTCAGGACACATACTCACTTCACTGTCCCTGAGATACACATTTGGACCCATCAGGCAATAAGGCAGGAACACAAATGCAAATACCCAAACAAGTAAACTGAGCTTAGCTGGCCCTGGCTCCTCATCTTCTCCAGATTTTCCTGGCCACTCATCATCCTCCAAAACTCTGATATTCTCATTAAGGGCTTGAAAGCATCGCTTAGATTTTTAAAAATCACACTTTACTGCACGCAATGTGCAGGAGTGGTATTAGCAAATTTGGATTTTGTGACAAGTCTCAACACAACGTCATCCTTGTGGTGATCAAGTACAAGCTGGATGAACATCTATTAGGGATGAAGAAAGGAAGAAAAGAAGGAAGGGAGGAAGAGAGGAGCCCTGCACAGGTTTAAGGCTGCAGTGTGTCAGGGGTCCCCAAATCTGCTGCTAGCATCACGTGGGAAGCTTCCTTTCTCTTCCTTTCTCTTTCTTTCTCTTTCCCCCTCTTTCCATGTCTTCCTGTTAATTTCCTAGCAGCAAAACCCTTTATCCAAATGAAAGGCTGCAAACTTCCATACAGGATCCTTCTAGTCCTCCTCCCAGGTCCTCCTTTGCCCCCACGAGACCTCGAAGCCCCATGAAAACCAGTTGAAACACCTAGGCTAGACTCTCTAGGACCACATCAAGTGCTAGCAGGCTGGCAGTTCTAAGATGATGAGGAGCAAAAGAACAGCATTCTCTCGGAGGTTTGTGGAGGTCCCAGTCTTTGAGAGCTGGAAAGAGCATCTGGATGAGGGGTACCACTAGCAAAAGCTGCCTCCGAAGCTGGACTTTTGAATCTATTGTAATTATGTGACTTCACTTACTCAGAATCGCTTGTCCTTATATAACCTTCATGGTGTGCAGCACAGGAATCATGAGCTGACTCACTCCGTGCTGAGGCAGTGATTCGCTGTGATGGGGAATCTAGGAATTTGCAAGGCTGCAGTGAACAAAACACCTAACCTGGGCCTGGTCTGGCTGTGGGGAAAGGCAGTTCTGGCAGCCACCTGCTTTTGCGTTCCCCATGGGGAGAGGCCCTCTGGATGCATGACTGGCTTATTTTCCATTCAGATGTTTTCTCCTAGACTATAGTTATCTTAAACAGGACAAATGAAACAGAATCGAAAGCGGTTGCCGGGGCAACCTGACAAAAGACTTCACCCTCAGCTACTGTATATGTAATTTGTCAAAGGCAGCTGGTTTCCAGGGAGAGGAAAGGGAAAGCCACAGTTGCTAGTTTGGGGCCTGAAAATTAAAATTTAAAGACTCTCTTCTTCTGGGGAAATCAACTCAGGTAGAACAGGAAAGCAGTTGTGATCTGTGCGATAAAAATTCAGAAAAGCCCAGCTGGGAAGGTGAAGAGGGCACACACCTTTGACTTGTCTTTTGTGATGTCCGTCAAATAGGTGCCTTTCAGGGCTTTTAACACCAAGCTGCTCAGAGGCCTGGAGCTGAAAGTATGCCCCGAAGGGGAGGGAGGAGGACCAAGGGCAAGACGTTGAAGAAAGCCACCAGGATATTCGAGGATATAGAGATAAATATGAAGCAGGGAGTTTTTGACACATCACATTCGACATCCCCCCAAACCATAGCCTCTCGTGAGAGCAGCGCCTTGTAGGGAGACCAGCATTACAGAGCTTGGAGCAAGTTCAGTTGGCTCCCTGTATGGATGGAAAGACAGGTCCATAAAGGATAGCCCACTCAAGGTCAACCGGCGGGGCAAGGGCAGAACTAAGCCAGAAGCCCCATTTCCTGCTTCCCCGTGATCTTTCCACTTATCTGATGCCTCTGTCCTGTGGTTCTTTGAGAGAAGCACTAGCTGGACAACTTTCAAAGTGTGCCCCATGGAGTCGGGGGCCAAGCTGTGAGGGCACAGGACACCCCCTGCCCTCAAAGGAATGGCTCCCTTTCCATCTATTTTTATATCCATTGGGGCCCCACTTAAAATTATTTCAGGGGGAAAAAAAATCCATGACTAAAAAACGTTTGAAGATCACCCGTCTAAAGATAAATACGGTAGGGCGCCTGGGTGGCTCAGTCGTTAAGCGTCTGCCTTCGGCTCAGGTCATGATCCCAGGGTCCTGGGATCGAGTCCCACATCGGGCTCCCTGCTCGGCAGGAAGCCTGCTTCTCCCTCTCCCACTCCCCCTGCTTGTGTTCCTGCTCTCGCTCTTTCTCTCTCTGTCAAATAAATAAATAATATCTTTAAAAAAAAAAAAGTGTAAAGATAAATACGGTAGATCGTGGTGGTGGTTGCACAACCTTGTGAATATATTAAAAAACCACTGAATCATATGCTTTACTATGGTGAATTTTATCTTTAAAATTTATTTTGTTTGTTATATATTTATTTAAGTTAAAAAACCAGATAGCCCTTTATTCATGCAAAGATGGACACGAAGATAAGAGGTGAGTTATACTTAGGGTCAGAATCCAAATAAGAATGGATTATAGCAAGGCTGACCCAGACGTCCTCCACGCCCACCCCCACCCCCATCCTCCCCAGCCCCCACTCCCCAGCCCCCAGGTGGCTCCTTACTGAGTTGGTGCCAAGGATCTGCAGGTTGGGCTTCTCCGACTCCAGCAGCTTGGCCACCATCTTGAGGAAACTCTCCACGAAGAGGTTGATGCTCTGGCAATGGCAGGCCATGAGCAACTGGTCCAGGGCCTCCATGGCAATGCACACGTACCTGGGGAAAGCAATACCGTCACTGGGTCTCACGCCCGTTCCACCCTCATTGCATGACTGGGACAATTAGCATAGTGACCACCTGGCCAGCATCTGGGTGATGTCTGGACAGCCATTCCGACTAGTGCCCACTCCAGCCCAGCACCAAGAATCAGCAGGAACCAGCCTGGAGACCAGCTCTCCCTAGCCACTCATTCTACAGATGAAGAACATAAGGACAGACTAGGTGTACCATCTCATGAGTAGATACAAGCAGAAAGGATTGATGCTCAGAAGAGCAAATTCTGAACCCAAACCCAGTGAGATCAAAGAATTACTCGATCTGAGGTCAAGTATTTGTTGAGCACCCACGGGGGACATTCTCTGTCTTAGTGCAGGGGTGTAAGGAGGAAGAAGGCCTTCAACTCAAGGAGCCTAGAGTTAGATGGACAAGATAAAAACACAGATATCCTCTGTAAAGATGTCTGTAAAGGGAAGATAAGAAACACCACAAGAAAATCATGGAGGATTTCCCACAGAGTTCCAAAGAAGGAGAGAGATGGTTCTAGTGGGGAGAAAGAGAGAACTTTAGGAAGAACGTTTATGAAGAATCTGAGATGGGCCTGAGGACCAATCAACTGCAAAGGTTAAGGAATATAAAACCTGCAGGTATTGCATTTGAAGACCTTGGAAGTCCTATGATCATCACACAATATGGTTGATGGTATTACCATATTTAAGCGACACATACCATACCTAGGAAGCATCTGTACCTCGCGGAGGATAAGATAAACACGGAATAAAATTATTATTTTTTCCTAATGAAGATGATTCTGAGGCCCTAACTACTTATTCCTTCTAAAGTCTAAAACCTGAGTGAATACCTTCAGAAACCAGAAATATGCAGCACCCAATGACGAGCGTACTAGATAGGTCAGCTCATCCCATTCCTCGACAACTAAATAAAAACTTCTTCATATTTTGAGCTAAACCCTAATAACTTTGTCCTTTATTCACAATTCTACTTTAGGGAGCAGTAAAAAACAGGGCTACACCTTCTACCTGCCTGTCCTTCAACCACTTGAAAAGAGCAATCCCATTTTTCTTGCTCTTCTCTTCTCCATGCTAAAAATACCCAATCCTTCCCAAACTAGCCTTCGCAGGACAACCCCTGATGATCCTGGCTGGTGGTTGTCTTCTTCAATGGCTCTCTTGAATCCCAAGAAAAAATGCCACGAATCAAATTCCTACTGAGAATTAGGAGTGCATGTCTGAGCCCAAACCCGACATGTGTTCCATGGTGGCCACACGAGCATGTGATCAGGTGAGGCACACCAAGAAGGGTACATGCCCCACTTAACAAGGCACTTGCACACTAAAGAAAACAGAGTAGGGGTGCCTGGATGTCTCAGTCGGTTGAGCATCTGACTCTTGATTTCAGTTCAGCTCATGATCTCAGGGTTGTGAGATCGAGCCCCGCGTTGGGCTCCGTGCTGTGTGGGCAGCCTGCTTAAGATTCTCTCTCTCCCTCTGCCTCTGCCCCTCCCCCCACTCTCTGTCTAAAGAAAAAGAAAGAAAGAAAAAGAAAACAGAGTAGATGTTCATTAGAAAAGGTTATTGCTTAACTTCTAATGAAGAAGCTGCTACAAATCTGTCCAACGTCATTCTAGTTGAAATCTTTGTAATTTTCTTTAGGGAGTTAGGTGTCTAAGGCAGAATGCTAGACGTCTCCCCTGGAATCTCTTTCCCTCCTTTTCCCTCGTAATTTGGAATTTTAGGGGGGCTTGTGGCTGCTCAAGGGGATCAGTTCCCAGACCCTCTTGCTGCTAGCTGAGGCCACGTGACTAAAATGTTGCCATTAAAATGAGGGAAAGTTAGGTGAACAACGTTGGCGTCACTGGCTTAGAAGACAGGATTGGCCTCCGTGTCCTCTCTTCCCCTCTTCCTGAGGTTGAGGAGTGGTAACAACTGGAGTCCCAGGCATGGAAGTCCCTGGACGACCCTCACGGTGCAGGGCCCACATCGCCAGGCTGGAGCAAAACCCCTTCCATATGGCTGGAGCCACGGTATTTTTACACAAATAACCCAGATACATAATAATCAGGCTTAGGAGCACTTTGGAAACCCAGTGGTGCAAATAAAAGCGAATCCTGAGCAATCCAAAGCAAATCAGCGACCGACCTCATAGGAAGGTGAAGAAGAGCTGGAAGGGATTCTATCCTGTGACGGGGAGAGCATCACAAGACTCCATGGACTCGTGAATGCGCTCCCGTGCCCATTCCAGGGTGTCGATCCTTCTACTTGTTAAGCCAAACCATGTGGACTAGAAGAGTCCTTCTTGATACACAGAAATGCAGGACAGGTCAAGTGGGCAGAGAACTCCCAAACCTAACAGAGGTGCTGAGGAATCAGGTTAATGCCTCCAAGTCAAAAGCAAGTAGCAAAACACCCGTCTTAAAGCTTATGGTAGAGCTGTCAGCGCAAGCTTTTAAAGTGTGAAAGCTGCCTGATGCTAGAAAGCCAGGTTAGTACGCCAGACATATAATAAAGAATGAATTAAAGGATTTGTTCTCCTTTATGCCTCCGTCCCAATCATAAACATCTTTGAATGGTAGGCAGATATTTGAAAAGCCTTTGATTAGCTAGTTGCTTTATCTTCTTTTTTATTTTTTTAATTATTTATTTATTTATTTTTTAAAAGATTTTATTTATTTATTTGAGACAGAGAGAATGAGAAAGAGAGAGCACATGAGAGGGGGGAGGGTCAGAGGCAGAAGCAGGCTCCCTGCCGAGCAGGGAGCCCGATGCGGGACTCAATCCAGGGACTCCAGGATCATGACCTGAGCCAAAGGCAGTCGCTTAACCAACTGAGCCACCCAGGCGCCCCTTATCTTCTTTTTTAAAACAAAGTTTGGTTAAATGAAAAGAAATAGATAAAAGCTATGACTACAAGGTGCTTTCTGGAGGTACCACGAGGCCACAAGCCAAGGCTGCACGATGCCTCCTGGGGCAGCTGTTGGGTCTCAGGCATCGTGTGTCCAAACCGCCTCGCATCTGAGCCAGCTTTGCAAATCCAAACCTACAAAGTAACAGCAGTCATGGCGTCCCCTCAATGTTCTTTTTTTAAAGACATCAGATACCATTTCTTAGGTACCCTTGAGCTAACTTTTATACTGAGCAATCATAAGGAAAACAGCCTCCCTGCTCTGAAATTTTCCTATCCATTTTAATTTTTATTTTTTTAAAGATTTTATTTGTTTATTTGACAGAGAGAGACATAGTGAGAGCAGGAACACAAGCAGGGGGAGTGGGAGAGGGAAAGCAGGCTTCCTGCAGAGCAGGGAGGCCGATGTGGGGGCTCGATCCCAGGACCCTGGGATCATGACCTGAGCCGAAGGCAGACGCTTAATGACTGAGCCACCAAGGCGCCCCTTCCTATCCATTTTTAAAAAATGTTTGGTGAACTGAGTCTACTATTATTAAATTATTACTTAATATTATTAAGCACTATTAAATAGTCATCTCTGGGCATGTTTACAAAGGGATCAAGTCATGCTCTTATCTACAGAATGTCTTTCAAATACAAAGCCAGCCTTGGGTCTCTGAGCTCCTGGAGCAAACAGGAGCCACCCCAGTCCCCGCTGGGGTGGGGGTGGGGATGAGTGGGGGGTGGTGCTGGCCTTGCTCTTCAGAGGCCATCAGCGTCACAGTCCAGGAAACCTGGACTGCTTGGGGGGCAGCCTGGCTGGGGCCCTTCCAAAGGAGACACACTTTCCTTGCACACAAACCGGGCCACATTCGGGCAACCAAACACAGCGGGTGGGAAACGGGGGCAGACAGAGTAAGATTCTCTTCTCTCATGAATCATCCCCAGCATCTTATGTATGAAGGGCTTCAACCTTAGTTCACAGAGTTTAAATGAGGGAAAGGAAGAGGTGGGGTGGGGTTTGGCAAGAGAAGAAACTAGAAGACTTCCCAAATTCCAGAGTTTAGATCGCTGCTTTTTCCTTTTCCTGTAAAAAAAAAATCCCCAAAAATCCTAATAAGGAAAAACCATCTTTTGCTAACAAAATGACTGAATGAATAAAAAAATAAAATAAAGGGCGCCTGGGTGGCTCAGTTGGTTAAGCGACTGCCTTCGGCTCAGGTCATGATCCTGGAGTCCGGGATCGAGTCCCGCATCGGGCTCCCTGCTCAGCAGGGAGTCTGCTTCTCCCTCCCCCGCTCCCCCCTCTTGTGCTCTCTCACTCTCTCTCTCTCAAATAAATAAATAAAATCTTTAAAAAAAATAAAAATAAAATAAATAAAATAAAATAAAAAGCAATTGGCTACTAATCAGGAGTGGAAATTTTGATGGGAAGTGAAAATTATGGTAGAAAGAGACACTGAAAAGTCAAGAAGTTTAAGGCCTACTTCTTTGAATATGCTATTCTTTCTTCCCCATGTTGGGCCCCAATACTAAGGATGGAAGGATTGTAATTATGAACTTGAATTTTTCCAAGTATCTTAGAAGGTTAGATGCTCTCTGTGTTGGTCCTACCTTACCATAACCTTCCCGGGTAGATCCTGTAGTTGGGCCCATACTCTCAAGGAAAATAGAGTGTGGGCTTCTCAGGATGATGGCTGCTCAACAGTACCACAGCCAGACGGGTTGGTCTCAGCAGAAATCTGATCTGGCCTCCGTGTCCTGGAAAGAGTCCAGTGTAGTAATAGGTCTGGGAAACTGAGCTGGCCTGAGTACTAGGAGCAGGATGAGGGGGAAGGGCAAGAGCAGGTACAGACGACAGCAGCAGGTGACAACCAAGGGTTGGATGTCTTCGTAGGGGTTCCCAGCAGGTGAGGAAGGCAGAACCCAAGGAATCTGGGATAGAATCAGGTTCACGGGCAGCAACCGACACCAGGAGAGGACACCTGACAGGTGATAACAACAGGAGCTCAGGGACAATGGCCAAGGCAGGAGGAGAGTTATAACAACTGAGGAAAATACACAGGGAATGGGGCAAGAAGTGTCTCCTATTGAAGTCTAGAATAGGCAGCTGGTTCTGCTTGAACACCTTGTGCTCAGTCAAGAGGCCCTGAGCTCCAGGAAAGGAGGAGCAGGTGTATAGAGCTTGGGAACAGGGCAGGTTGGAGAGGAAAGGCTAAGTCAGAGATGAAGACCAGCAGGCTGGAGAGCGGGGACAGCTTTAGCAAGCCCAGTCACTGCCCAAGAATCACTCAAAGGTCAGTTGCCTTGACAAAGAACCTCTTATTCTAGGCAGTTGGAATGTACTTGGTCAGCCCCACTCCTGGACAGAAACTTCTGGGAACTCAGAAGTAGGGGCTGACCTCAGCTGAGGGAGGGGAAGAATGAACCTCCTTTTCTAGTAGGAATCTGCAATATCTCTGCCTGCAGGTTCAGCACCGTCCTCCAACCACGTTCAGGCTCCTTCTGGGAAATGTGTGTCTCTTAGGAGTCCTGCCAAATCAGCTCTGGGGCCACGCACCTCAAGGAGTAGCCCATCCTTCTTTGGCTTGGGCATCTCTACCCTCCAGGGCTCCAGGCACTGGGGAACCTGACAGAATCCAATCCAGCACTCTGTATGTGGTCAGAGCTCCGTGGTCACTGCCAACCGACCCTGAGTCTCACGAAGCACTCTCAGTAACTCCCTTGCTCCCCAGTGTCTAAGGTGTTCTAGCAGTTGGGCTGAACTGGAAGGAAAATGTACAAAGAAGGAGAAAAATAGGAGGAAATCTCACTTTTTGCTGCTTCGCACATCTCTGCCCAACATAGTTCGCGTCAATGAACAGTACCTCGGAATTCACACCTTAGCCTCTCTCTGTCCACATTTGGTTATCATTCCTGATGCTAAACACAGATAAAGGCCAACCCCCAAGTTCATGTCCATATAATCAAACCGTAAATACAGACACCTGCATGATGACAGGGGGACACAGCCCCTCAGACTTGTCTGCATGCGAATATTTTGCGCTTCCAAAGCTGCCATCAGGAACTTACTAATGACAAGGAAGATCATAATGATGTGCATAGCACTGCGCAGGGCAAGATGGGGTGGGCAAGGACAGAGAATAGGAGATCAGATCTAACAGACTTTTCTTCTCCAAATGTTTATGATTAAAGCTTCCAGTGAGGCCTTCAAGGCTTTAAATACTTAGATGCTGCGAGGACTATTTTTAACAGAATGATACCAATTTTGAATTGCAGTTCTAAGGGCAGTGGAATGATCCTAATTGGCCTGTTAGCTATAGGACATTTTTATTGAGAGAACCATCACTGCAGAGAGGGCAGATAAAATTAGTATTAAATGTTTAATGTTATTGCTAGCATATTAGTTTTAGGTTCAATCTAGGATGAAGTCATTTTTACTTGCTTGAGCATGCTTTACAATATGTCAAGGCGATTTATATAATCAGCACGTACAGTATATTTGTACCCTCTTTATCGAGCATGTAACTTAATTTTATTTTATAAAATGATGATAGAAATGTATTGTTTCCAGTCTTGCTATTACTCCTAGGGATGGCTTGATTTCAGATTCGCGGGTGGGTCCTGCAGAGGTGGGAGGTCTATACCTTATCAGCACAATGCAAACCTTTTCACTCCAGTGCTCTCTCTGGCTTCCTCACCAGGAGGAAGGGAGCTTGGCAGGTGGTAGGGCTGCTGGGCCATGCCAGGGGCCCATGATGGGGATTGAGGGGAGATAGCACTGCCCCAGAGGCGTGAGGCTCAGAGAGCCAGGGGGTCCGTCTGGAGTGGATCTAGAGTAGGCACGGCAGGTGAGGCGGGCATGGCTGGGGGAGGCGGGCATGGCTGGGGGAGCCTGACGAGTTAGGGGCAGGTTGTAGGAGTCAAGCTGAGGAGCTTGGATTTTATTCTAAAGGAGCCAGATCTGTGTTCTGAAGGTCATAGCTAGCAGTACTCGTCTGAGAGGACCAGAACAGGAGAGACGAAGCAGGGAGAAAATTTCTAATGTTGACATAATCTGGAGTCTGCTGCAGGATAAAGGAAGAAGCAGAGGAAATTACAGGATGGATGTATGGAGAACAGAAGCAACAGGACTTGGGAACAATTGCCCTAGGTCTACCCCGCCCTCCGCCCCATCAGCAATGCCGCCAAGGATGCCTTTGGGTTCTCTTATATTCAGCTTTGCTCCAAACTGGGGTGTGGGTAGGGCAGCAAACGCAGCAGGCCCGCACACACAAAAACCCAACCACACGGCTCAAAAAATGAGCACTCTTAGCATTTATGGCATATTTGTTTTTACTATATTTTCTAGGCATCGATATTTGTTGTTTATTTTTTAACTTGATTGTAAAACACTGCATATGTAATTACATATTCTATTTTTCATTTACTTAAGGCATTTCCATTATTATGGGGAAAGCATGTTTATAAAGATACTTTCTATTGAATAGATAACATTTCACCAAGTGAGAAACATCGTAATTCACTAAACTATTTTCCTCTTATTGGACATTAATTTCCACTATTTCATTATTATAAAAAAGACCATAATGAACATCTCTGTGTGTAAAGCTAGTTTATATTTAAGATTGATTTCTTGGGATAGAAATGTAGAAAAAGAATTTACTGGATCAAAGGGCATAAATGTTTTTGAAGACTTGACTTATATTTCAAAATCATGGTCTAAAAAGGTTCAATCAATTTGCACTTATTCTAGAAAAGTATGAAACCGCCCCTCATGTTGCCATTCCTTGGTTAGTACTAGAAATACTTTTTTTTTATCAGTTTGCTAAGTGAAGATGGTATCTTAGTATTTCAAGCCACATCTTTATAAGTTTATTGACTATCATTATTTCTCCTTCCTCTTTCTGTGAGTTGGTTATTTGGGGCCCTGGCTTCACAGTTTTTAGTGACTCAGTTTCCCCACTCCAGCCCCCACCATTTGTCATATGCTACTAATAGATGAGTTTGAATCTTTTGTCTTATTCTTTCAAAACACTTATTTTGGTTGTCTTTTAAATTTTGATGGCTTCTTTTTTGACGTCAAAATATTTAAATTTTCAAACAGTTAAATCCATTGATCCGTCATCTTCATTTAAGATTTCTTTTCTTTACTAAACATAGCAAGTCCTTTCCTCTCAGATTGATAAATATTTCATTTATGTGCATTTTTAATGGACAAATTACCCCTAACCTTGCCTTCTCACTAGAATGTAGATGGTTCCTCCCTCCTTTTTTTGTTTAATATTTATTGTTCGATTTTTTTTTTTTAATTAGAGAGAGAGGTGGGTGGAGCAGAGGGAGAGGGAGAGAGAGAATCCCAAGCAGGCTCCGTGTCCAGCCCGGAGCATGACGTGAGGCTAGATCTCACGACCCTGAGATCATGACCTGAGCTGAAATCAAGAGTCGGACACTTAACCGACTGAGCCACCCAGGTGCCCCCTCTTCCTTGCTTTTTAAGACTGTAAGTTGCTTGGTTTGATGAGAATAATGGCAGATTCTGGACTAGACCAACCTTTCTTTTTTTTTTTTAAGATTTTTTAAATTTATTCATTTGAGACACAGAGATACAGAGAGAGAGAGAACATGAGCAGGGGGAGAAGCAGAGGGAGAGGGAGAAGCAAGCTCCCCGCTGAGCAGGGAGCCCAATGCGGGGCTTGATCCCAGGACCCTGGGATCATGACCTGAGCCGAAGGCAGACACTTAACCATCTGAGCCACAGGCACCCCTAGACCAACTTTTCAAGGCCCTAGACTGTGGGTGAGGGCTTCTGGATAGACACACGAGGGGAAAATGGATGCTAAAAGAGGTGCTCCTAGGAAGCCAACATCCCCTTCTTCCTGCATCTTGGCAATGGCCTCAAATTTTACCTGCCACTGGAAGAAGCTCCCTCAGGCCCAGTCTCCCTTCTCCCTGTCTGTTCAATGACTAAGTCTACTATCATTTTCATAAAAGGACCCTACGTTTTGCCCTAAAAATATAACATCACTTCTGAAAGTATCTCTCTCACTTTCTCACACTCTTACCCATATCGATGACGACCCACATCACGGATGAGCCTCTCAGAGAGGTAGGCGCCAATTCGGTCCAGCTTCTCTGGAGCTGAGAGGGCGTAGAAGGTCAGCTTCTCCATGTTGGTCTTCACCAGGCCATCCTGTAAAAGACAGGCCATCATATCTCACCGTGACCATTCCATGGCTAGAAGGGTTCAAGTCTAAAGCTAAATAATATGTCAATTTAATCATCATTTTGCAGAGTGCCATTATGTATGTGACAAACCCCCCATGTGGGGTTAGGGATACAGAGATGATTAAAACATGGTTCCTGCCTCCAGGAACACACAGCTTAGCTCAGAGTGTGCCAGCTATAAATTAGAATGCTGGTATAAATGTATATATTATGTATGTATGTATGTGGATACATGTGTACATGTATATATACATGAGTGTATATATGCACATGTGTATACGTGTGTGTGCGTGTGTGTGTGTGTGTGTGTGTGAATGACAAAGCTTCACTGAAAGCAACTCAGAATTAAAATGTGCTGGATATCCGGCACCAAGACATGAACAGGAAGAGAAGGCAGCTCAGCAGCAATTAGGGAATTCTCCAGAGGATGCTGGAAACGTGGCCTTCAACTGTCCATCAAGAAGACATCATTGATTTCCAGAGAGCAAGTCAAGAATATCAGATCCTGACATTTCCAAAATCACACAACCCGTAATGCAGCCTGAGCGGGGAGTGGCGGCCGGGAAGCCGAGAAGCCAGGCCTCCTGCGTGCACATACCCAGACACCTGGCAGATGCCAGAGGGAGCCACAGAGAAGACCCGGGCTCCTGAGCCAAAACCCGAGAAGGGCAGTGCTCACACGAAACAGCAGGGAAAGAGTACCATCAAGAGAGTTAGCAGTTCGGGCGCCTGGGTGGCTCAGTTGGTTAAGCGACTGCCTTCGGCTCAGGTCATGATCCTGGAGTCCCTGGATCAAGTCCCGCATCGGGCTCCCTGCTCAGCGGGGAGCCTGCTTCTCCCTCTGACCCTCCCCTCTCTCATGTGCTCTCTCTCTCTCATTCTCTCTGTCTCAAATAAATAAATAAAATCTTAAAAAAAAAAAAAAAAGAGAGCAGTTCTAGGAACCATCGCTCAGAGAGACCCGGGGGAGAAAGATGTCGCAGTGGTACGGCAAAGGCCCACAGTGTGCCAAAACCAACTTCCCGAGCCCCCTGCACATCCTGACTCCAGACAGATCCAAATCTCCGCAGCCTGCAGGCCCCTGGCTGCCTCTCCCCACTGACCGGAGTTTGAGTGGGCCCACGGGTGAGGGGCCCGGGAGCTCCGCCTTCCCCTTGCCGCCCTGGACGGGGTGAGACGGTGGGAGGTGATGCCGGGCGGCGGTGTGACCCACCTCGGGATCCTCCGGGAAGATGTTGTCGACCAACCTTTTGTACCTGGGGCGTAGAGCTCCACAGCAACCACATACACCTAGGACAGCAAGAAGAAAACCCTGTGAGCGAGGCCTCCCAGGCAGGCTGGGGGGACCTGGGAACCAGGCCAAGGTGGCTCGTAAGGAACCAAACCCAGGCCGGGAAGCAGAAAGATCCCTCCCCCCGAGTGCCCTGGGGTGGCCGCCTCCCACCCCTTGTCCGCATCCCACACCTCTGCCCCTGGTGCTTGGTGTCCTTTGCGGGGGGTCAAGCACGGCGATGTGTGTGTGAGCATGAAGCCAGGCCGTGGAGGGGCACTTTGAGGGCTGGGGGCTCACCTAAAGGTCAGGTGCTACCCCTGGGGACACACACACACACACACACACACACACACACACACACTCTCGGGCGCAGGACTATAAACCTGCCTCCTGCAGCCCAAGAACCTCCCCCCCAACCCTGTGTCCTGGGAAGACGGACACAGCTTGAGGGGTGCTTATTCCTCCTACCCCCCACTGACACCCCACTTCTTTTATTCTCCGCTCCTCAATCTCCTCTACCATCCCGTCCCCTGGGGCCTTTTCCGTTATAGAATGTTATGTGAAATGATGATAAATTAACATTACCATGAATTATTAACATTTGGAAATGCATCTTTAATGCAGGGTGATGGGGGTGTTTTAGGGTGGGGCGGGGCCCCCCCACCCCACGAAGTGTCCACCAGCCTGTGGCAAACCAAGAGACTGAGAGCCATGTGGTGCATTTTTAGAAAGCTGAGTCTATTCCATGGAGAAGGCGGTCTCACAGGACCGCTTTGTCTCTGGGTTCTGTGACATGTTGGTGTTAGGAAATCAGTGATCATAGAACAAACCTTGGGGAAATAAAAAGCTGACTCTTGTAAGTCCCACCATAAAGACTGTCAGCGGACAGAGAACACGGAACCGTCTGGGATCCGATGCTGTTCCACCTTCCTCCCGCCTCAGGGATCCCTCCTTCCTCATCCCAGCCGCACCCCTCCCTGCCCGGTGCGGGGGAGTGGGCACTGTGGGGAGGAGCCAAGGGGAGGGCAGGGAAGGGCCTGGGCAAGTCCACCCCCCCAAAATAATTGCTCCCTCATTCTCCCAATTAATGCTTAATTCTGCTTGTACAAACTCTCCAGCTGAAAGGCAAATGCCCCGTGGAAGGATCAAGCCTATGGGTCATTTGGAAAAGAATGACTTACTTTAGTGGGAATTACTTGAATCACACAAAGAGCTTTACAGCTGAGCTGCGGAGAAAAGCGGCTCTCTGGGACTTTTGATTGGGAGGGGGTGCGGGACAGCAGTGCCAGGAGGAAGAAGGAGCGGTGATTTGGACCTCGGGGTGACTCCAGTTCAAGGGAACAGGTGCTCTCTTGGAGAAGCCAAGGGGCACGCCGAAGGAGGACAGGATATCAGGTAACTGATTCATGTCACCCCTCGCCCGCCTCGCGGGCAGCTGTGCGTCTCTAGCCTCCCACCTGCGGGGCATGAGGAGGGCTGCAGAGCCAGGCCCTCCGGGTTCAGTCTCTCTGGGTTGGCCTGGCATCTCCTCATCGCCTCCCTGCCCACGCTGGGCAGGGGGTGTCGGGCTCTGGACGCCAGCCAGGGCTAGTGCTCCTGATGGAACAGCGCCCAGGGGTGGCGTTCTCTGTCTCGGGCCTCCCAGCCTGGGATTTAAACCCATCCTCCTTCCCCCTTCGGCCACCCTGCCCGCTGCCCGGTGCAGCCGTCAGCACGCTTCTGCCCAAGATGCCCAGGGGACGTGCCCTACACTCTCCCGGCAGCCTCCTTCAGCACTGTCCCCAGACCAGGAGCACCGGCCATTTGTGTTGTAAGGGAGTGAGGAAAGAGCATCACAGAGAAGCTGGTACTGCAAAGCCCCAGTGCCAGGCCCTTCCTCAAACATTTCTGAGAGGCCTAGGAGGCAGGGCCTGCACGGGACAGAGGCCAAGCTCCTGGTTGTTAGAAACTCAAGACTTGTCAAGAAAGCACAAGCCCATTTTGGGTGCTCAGGGCAGAAAGCTCTGTGCAGGGGCACTGAGGGGGCTGGGGGCTCCTGGTGCTACCAGTGGGGACGTGAGCCGCCTCCCAGAGGCAGCAGGCCCGGCTGTATCTCAGTCTAGGGACGCTGGCTCGGTTTCTTCCCAGTAAAACCAGGGAGCCTGTTGGTCTCCTGCTCCCATGTCTCTAGAAGGAGTGTGCCTCAGGCGTCCCTTCTGCCCCAGTGCCTCCTTCTCTAGCCCACAGGCCTCTCCCTGGAACTCGCCTCTCCCAGCAGAGGCCGCAAGGAGCCACCGGGCAGGGCCCCGGTGAGAACCAGTCACATTCAAGGCCCCAGGGCACCGGTGAGAGGTAAGAAGGCCCGAAGAACAAGAGAGGAATCTGCAAAGTTGCCATTGTTTTCGGGTCCTTCCTGACTTGCGTCCTGCGGCCTCTTCCTGGTCTGTTCTTCCTTTCCGACCTCCTCAGACCCCTTGAGGGCTTGTGAGGCAGAGTGGTCAACAGCATGGCTTTCTTTTCTTTCTTTCTTTCTTTTTAAAAAGATTTTATTTATTTATTTGAGAGAGAGAGAGAGAGAGAATGAGAGAGATAGAGAGCATATGCGTGCAGGAGCAGGGGGAGGGCAGAGGGAGAAGCAGACTCCCCGCTGAGCGCAGAGCCTGCCGCAGGACTCGACCCCAGGACCCTGAGACCATGACCTGGGGGGAAGGCAGACGCTTAACCGACTGAGCCCTCCAGGCGCCCCACAGCATGGCTTCTCGTTAAACCCCAGCACTGCCACTTCCCAGATGTGTGACCCTGGGCAAGTAACGACACAGTGTTTGTGAGGGTCCTGGGCTCATGGCACAAGGCCGTTAGGAGGTCAAAGTGAGTTGCTGGCTGCAAAGCCCTTGAAGCGGGGCGGGGCCTGGTAGCTCCCAGTGAAGGCTCACTGGTGGTGTACCCCCCCTGCATTTCCCAGGCCCGAGCAGCCACACCCCTGCCTAGCTGCCAGCGACTCTGTGCTGGCTGGCACATCTTAGCGGGGCTTTCCGCACTGACCACTTGCTTGGCGACAGCAACCAAGGCCGGTGCACATCCAAAGGCCTGAGCACTGAGACTCAAGGCACGCTCCTTCAGATCAAACCTCACTGACCTGTGGGTCTGAAACATGTACCGCTTGCCTGAGGCAGCTCGAGGCACGTGCAAACTACCATACCTGACCTCCCCCTCCAGGGACTACCCAGCACCTTCCCGAAGCCAGTGTCCCCAGACCGTCTTGCCTCTGCAAACCCCAATGCAGATGTGACACGCCAGACGCTCCCACAGCAGAGCGGAGTCAGCTGCTGACGAGATAAAGCGAGAGCGTCGCTGCAGAGAATCCCCAGGACTGGCCCTCGGAAGGTCGGTCACCGGCACAGCACTTGTCGTGTGTTGAGACAGGGAAACAGAAGGGACCCCATGAGAGAAAAAGCTGTTCTTTTTCCTTTGCTTCTTTTGGGGCTCTATTCCTTTTAGGACCTGCACCCCCACTCCACTTTAGACATGCCTTGTGAGGTAAACAGCATATGTCCTCCTTGTAAGGGACAAGGAGCTAATGGATTTCTCTAGAATAGATAACATCTAAGGAAGGACCAGGTGAGAATGACCAGAGGAAGCTATCATCTGCGTGTTCCAGACCACTGTCAAGGCCCCCTGGCTCCAAGGAGTAACACCTGGGTCCTCATCTCTGTTCTAACCAGTTCCTGGATGCCTGAGAGGACAAGTACATGAGACCACTGTCCTTAGCAAAAACCTGCAGACCCCGCAGAAAAACAGATTCCTGCTCCTTTCCTTTCCAAGTCTCCTGGATGGTCCATCTGTAGCTGCTTTTTCTCTTCAATAAACTCTGCTTTCGCCTCCCGCTGGCTCGTCCCAGCCTGCCAGCGTCACTGTGGTGGAAGCAAAGGTGAACTTCAATGAACTCACGAGTCTGTGGGGCTAGAGGGGGGGCCTCTGGAGAACAGGGCTGCATTCCCCAAACCATGTTCCGTGGAACATTGGTTTTGAGATGCTGAGAAGCACCCCTCAGGAAAAGGGTCTAAGGACAAATCAGTATATGAAACTGCACATGCCAAATCTCCCGATTTCAGATTCACAGTACAAATTAGCATATTAAAGCCACTGGAAAGTCATAAGGTAAAGGAACCTGTTGAAATTTGGTCAGACCAACATCTCCTCATTTTTTTTTTTGCAATTACAAATATCACCATGATGAATACTTTTAATATTCTTTTTCCAAGGCATATGCAGTGCCTACCATAATGGGATAGAAAGGTATACAATGCTATAAACATAGTACGTTGGAAACGGTGCTAATTTTAGAGTCAGAAAAGTACTGGGTTCAAGTCCTGATTCTGTTGCTTTGAACTCTGAGTTCAAGTCCCAGTTCTGCCATTTTATCTTTGAGACTGTTTCCTCATCAAGACAATAAGAGGAAAAGATTTTCCCTAAGATACAATGCTGTGACTGAAGTCCTAGAATTCGCCGCAGATTCCAGAAAGGAAGAGACCACCTAGAGTTCTGATGGTTGGGGCCAGGGCTTCTCAGAAGAGAAGAGACAAGATGTGGGGTAGGATTCACACAGGTGAAAAACACAGTGGGTGCTTTCGTCTTCATGTGCCTGGCACAGTGCTAAAACACTGTACTAGTGTTAACTTGTTAAATCTTTACAACAACCCCATGGGGTGGTCCTATTTTATCGCCATTTTACAGACGGGGAGACTGAGGCATTCAAAGGTTAAGTTACCTGCCTAAAGTGGCCCCGCTGATAAGTGGCAGACCAGGATTTGAACCCCAAAAATCCAGGGACCATGATGTTAATTACTATACCAGGGAGGGGAGGGGTTGGCACTATCATGGAGCTGGGAGAGCCAAGAACTTATACGGAAAGAGAAGAACCACCAAGGCAGTGCATCCTGACGGGAATCAGAATACGTCACCCCAAAATATGCCTCTTTGACATGAAAATTATTTTGAACTGAAGGCAATCAAGAAGCAGCAAACGTAGAAAAACCTC